TATTTTACGATATTTCGAGCAAAAACTAAACACATCGCAGAGCTGTTCAACCTTCATACTTTGCGGCCCGCAAATAATGGAAGAAGTTTGATTATGAAGTGGAGCACTTAAAATTTTTTTTCGTGTTGTTGTTGTTGTACATATTTTAAATATTGATGGAATACAAATTACGAGGTTCCTTATTTTTTATAGACTTTAAATAAGTTTGTATTTTGTTCTAGGTCGAAAACGATATGGAAAACTACGTGAAGTACAAACTAGTTGGTGGTCCCCTCAAACTTAAAAAAGATGTTTTGCCTCACAAGTTTGCTTGTCAAAATCGGTGTACAGAAAAACCACAAAGATCTTTACTATCAAAACTAAATGCCAAATCTAGGTCAGAAACAGTTGCACATGCGATTGCCACTACTTCACAAGAAATTGAATATATATATATATATATATATATATATATATATATGTTGTCGATCCTGTTACTACTCTAGATAATAATATTGACATTGATCCCTTGCCAGAAGAATATATAACTAACAACGCTGATACTCTCGCTACACAAAACAAAAAAATTCAAGTAAACCTAAAAAACAAAGTTTCACATAAAAGTACAGTAACCAAAGATAAATATGTTCGGCCAGTACAAGAGAATAAGAAACTTTTTCAATTTGATGCAGTAAGTTCTTCAAGCTATGAAGAAAAATCTTCACTTTCTAGAGAAACTTGCAAACTTGCCGCTTGTGCCAGCCGGCCGCATGGAATCGATGACGTCACGCGCTACTCGCGGGCACCGGCGAAATTTTAAAAATGTACGTAAACTTTCCACGCTTATAACTTCGGTAATAGTGCACCGATCGATGTGAAATAAAAACTAGAATTATGTGTTTGGTCTACACTTTTTACCTACGTACTTAAAAGTCTAATATTGTTACCTTGTTATCTTCTCCATTGTGTAGTGTAATTTGTATTTAATTTGATAAATAGTAATTTGTATTTGTGGTAATTTATATTGAAATTAATTTGGTAGTATTTGTATTTAGTAGTGATGCCATTACACTGCCAGGGCAAAGTCACCTTGCCGTTTTGTACCTGGGTGCGACCGGCGCTTCCTCTCGGGGCTCTGCCGGGCCCTCGACTCCCACGGGCGGGGCACCTAGTCACGCCCCGGTCGGGCGACGCTCGGCGCTCTCCTGCGGGCTACCGGGCCCCCGGTTCGAGTGCCAGTCTGATGGAGGCAGCTCCAACTAGGTAGCTGCCGCCCTAGATCCTACCACGGCCGCCTCCACTGATCTTTTGAGTCGGCAGTCCACTTGTTAAACGGTTCTATTGTCGACGGCCTCAGTGAAGGTGTAGCACCCGAGTGGTGATTGTGTAACGGTTCGCGCTATATTGTATTCGGGTTCAAATGCGGTGTGGCCCCCACTTGGTTGGTGGGGAGACTAGGGCTTAACTGGAGCTTTGAATGCTTAGAAAAAAAATTTTTGCTTTGGTTTTTCCGCGAAATGTTTTGTAGTTGTAGCGGTTTTGAGTAAAAAGGTGAATTTGAAATGCGTATATGTGTTTTTGTAAATGTATTTGATCATTATGCTTGCTTTGTTGAAAAGAAAAATTGAAATTGAGTAACTATTTTTGCCGAAGGAAATAAAAATTAAACCTTCTTTTGTTTTCACATTTTTATGGACTCCCATCATCTCTAACCCCCCTCCCCATCCTCCCCCCCCACCTCCTCATCTCTCTTCCCTCCCCCTACTGTCGAAGATATTTGTTTTGGAAAATATGGTTACTCTAATAATGGAATATGGTTGTCTTATGTTTATCGTTTTGCTTAATTTATTGCGCTTTGCGCCCTCCTTTCTGCCAAGGAGGGTCGCGTTCGTATACGGCTTAGAGATCTCTAGACAGATCGTTAAGCCAATTCCTAAAAGGTTGAGTTTAGTGGGTAAAAGTCACCACATAACCACGCAGCCGGCTGCGTGGTATGCTATGAGCATTCTCAACCTCCCTACCCCGCTTTCCGGAGGGTTGCCCATATTTGCTTCGGGCGCAAAAAAAAACTTAATTTATCTGTTTTGATCAATGCGCATCGGGCAACAAGTTTGCTATAGTTTGTTTCAAGGTTGCATAGTAGTTTGAGCATTGAAGCTTTGAGGCTAGATGAAGCGCAGCATAGAAGTGCATGTTTGGAAAAGCTACTCTTAAAGTATGACGGTTACGTGCGAAGCGCTCGGCCGCGTGACCAACGCCTCCTATTGATTGTCTCTCGTGCTTTAAGTGACAGGAGGCTCCTTTGACTTTTGAAACGCTAAGACTGTGCGACCCGAGAGGAGATCGCTTCATGTTGGATATAGATTAATTGTGTACGCGCACCACCACACGCTACACCGGCCGAGTAGAAGTATGAATAGAAATTGGATATGTTGAAAGATTGTTAGTTGAGCTTATTGTCAGAGTTTGTGACATTTTACATTTTTACGATGTAGTTCTTAAAATTTGTCCATTTTGTTTTTTGTTTTTTTTTCTTGTGTTTTTTTTTCTCCTTGTGCTTTATTAGTGTGCTTCGGTTGCTGGTAACTCACCATCATGTTCGGAATGCGGCTAATTTGCAGCGGGAGTTTTGGATTTTGGCTGGCCGACGCACTATTCGGAGCGTCACTTTTGGGAACATACTTTGTTGTAGATTGAAGGCCACCATATCGCAGCCGATAATGGGTGACTTACCACCTGACCACGTCAGGGCCATCCGACCATTCGCTGGAGTCGGAACCGACTTTGCTGGCCCCTTCCTTGTCAAGTCCTTCAACCTACGTCACGCGCGTTCACATAAGGCCTATCTGTGCGTTTTCGTGTGCCTCGCCACTAAGGCCGTTCACATAAAACTTGTAAGCGCCCTCAGCACTGAAGCCATGTGGCCACGCTAGGCCGCTTCTTATCGCGTCGCGGTTTGCCGAACCGGATCCGGCCGGATTGCGGAACGGATTGTAGGGGCACGGATAGATATTTGAAGGAGGTCGTCGAATTTATGTCCTGCAACAGGACTTACTGGGCGGCTGCGGTGTCCGGGAAGGGCATCCAGGGGAAATTCGACTCTTCGGCTTGCCCACGCTGGGGCAGTGATTTGAGACGGTGGTTGGGGTTGCAAGAGCGCGTCTCCGTCGCGTTAGTGGCCGAGGTCTTGGTTGGAGATTCGGTCCTGCATCGTGCCGTCGCAACTCTATCCCGGTTGCCAATTTACTCGCGGACATAGGCCCTTATATCCGGGACGGGGGTTTATTCACGCCCGATTGTTGTGTCATTTAGGGCTTGAGGGACGCGGGTCTCGAGCGGGGCGAGGAAACGGTTAGCGGGTCGCGGGAGGCGGAGGCTCGATGCGGCGTACGGGTACAGCGAGCGGTCAGTCGCCCGCGAGGCCAGAAGGCGGCCGGCAGCAAGCCTCGGGCGCTGCGCCGCGCCAGTAAAAGATCGAACGTTACATAATCTCTCGGGTCAAGTTAGGGGTTGCGAGTTGATATACTTTTGCGTCGAAAGGACTGCCGCGTCGTGTTATTTCTTTAGTTTGTTTGCGCGAAGCCCGTGTCGATTATACGTTGAGAGCCTCTTTGTGTTCTCTTATATTTGTAAGTTACCGTAATAACGATGCCAAAATAATATAATTGTTTTGTAACCGTGTTAAGTATTGTCATACGGTTGTGCGCGGCAGGTGTTGTCTTGAGTGCCTAAGGCTTATGTTAATTGTGCGCGCCATTTTGAATTTACTATTGAATATTAGAATATAGTCTAGACCGCCTCGAATTGAATTGTCTTTTTCGAACGTGTTACGTGACAAGAGGTCTACTTGGAATTTGTAGTGATTAAAGGAACTTTTATGCCGTTAATTGCATCGACGAGTTAGTATTTTGTGCTACGTGAGCCTGAGACATTGAACTTTGACCAACCGTCCTTAAATTGTACAGCGTGTCACTGTTTAACGTCGATTAACGTTGATTTGGTTGAACTTGAAGTTAATTAAATGTACAATAAAGTGATAAACGAATATAGTGAAAATAGAAGCGGAAGTTTCCATTTGGTGTACGTCCCCTTGGATGGGTCCCACAATTGGAGAGAGGCAACGCCTTGGGATCTGCTGCCCAGGATCAGCGGGGATGTCAGGTTACACATTGAATACAATACTGCACAACACTTACATACACATCACCTTTCACCTGACTATGCCCTGTGCTTAACCCTACCTCCGGTAATCGGTAAGTATTGCTTGCTTCTTTGTCAGCTGTTATAGTTTAATTATCCATAGGTCTTGGACCCTCCCCTTTGTTACCCGTCGAATAGGACTACTAATGGTCCCTAGTCCGGATCGGCTTTTGTCAGGGTAGCTCAAGGCCGTAACAAAAGTATTTATGCCAAACTAGATTGCCCTGGGCTACACTAGTATGTCCTGACACGCGTCGGATAAACCGGTTTGGCCTAGGATAAAATAGTTTGGCCTGAAATCTAGTTTGTCTGCTAACATATACACTTCATTCGTTTATTCTCTTAGCATGTGTTGCTGCCGCTCGGATCCGCTACAGTCAAAAAGGACTCCTCCCTCCCACGTTTTCGCAAGTACCATAAAAATATAAAATCTGTAAAGATCCTATATAGTCTATTATAGAAGATGTGAACATATTTTATGTTTTAATTGTAATAATATTACCTAGTAAAAAAGTTTCTTTTGAAGATTATTTGATCTGACATCATTTAAAAAGTTAACACAGGTTTTTTCCAAAATGATGCCTTTTGAAATCTGACGCTTGACACTGCAATATATTGGCATATTTATCCACATTTCCGGTAAAAATATATCTAGTTTTAGCAGTTATTTTAATTGATACTAGCGAAATCGTACATTATAATCTGGTCACACTGATACCCAGACTGGCTTTTAGGCAGAAAAGAAGCCCTATCACCAAGTAAATCCTGCTTCAAAAAAGAAACTAACAGTGTACTACAAATTAAAAAAAAATTATACTTACCTATATGCACAATAAACCCGGGAGGGTACTCAGTCATAGTTAGGAAGGGATATTCCAGCATATCCAGATTATTGCTGTTCATGGACGGCCTTAGAATTGCACCACCACCACTACCAGCGTTTCCCACGGAGGCATTTAAGGAACTTCCTGTTATATAAAATAGACTATAAAGTCACACTAATATTCTTGGATAAAAAAATTATCATATTATTTCCAAAATATTGTAAACCAGAGAATATATTTTTTATAGTATAAGGGTGACAAACGAGCACACAGTCTACCTGATGGTAAGTGGATGCTGTGGCCTATAAACATCTACATTTTTAACCTCGCTAAAAATCAAAATGTAAATGCGCTGTCACACTTGAGGTCTAAGATGGAATGCCTCGATTCCAGGAAAACGGGTCTCCGGTTCTTTACACTCACCATACGAAACACAGCAGCATTAAGCTGGTATTCTGTGAGAGCGTGGTCCTTCCCCGGTCGAGCCGACACATTCATGCTACAACCATAATAGCTGCAGTGTGGCTCTACCACGTTCTAACACTTTTTTTAAACGTTGAATCCACACAAGGATTTTCTCCTGTATCATGGAGACAGTTTACAAACATAAATTGCACAAGACTAACATCCGGAATTGGATCAATTATTTGTAGGTCATGTAGCCCCCAGCGCTAGAACTCATTCCTAAGCCACTGCACCACGAAGCCGTCAACATACACACTAAAATCAAAATCTAGTAGTATCTATGCCAATAACTAAAAAAGAACTTACTGGAAATTGGAACTAACCTTTAGGCGTGATGCTTAAGTCGGAATCTGAAGACCTTCTGTGTGATATTCCAACTGGTATTGATGAAGAGTTTAATGAAGCATTCTGCGCAGTAGCTCCGGCCACCGGTTCCCGACCGCCATACGATTCATGGCGAGCATGTCTCGGTGACCCTTTCTCCTTTTCATTCTTATCTCTATCCCGCTCGCTCCTGTCAAAACGGCACGCTGCATGCAAGTTACCACACACGCTAGCACTGTTAGTTCCACTCTCACACTTATCGTCTACGCCCTCTACATCTAAACTCTCAACGCGATCCATACTGCTCTCGGGCAGCGATGGTATGGACTCTAAAGGAGTGCCACTAAGTATGGGATGAAAGTGTTGCAATACCGGTGTGTTTGTTAACTTGCATGGAATGATGTGGTTAGGTTCTAAATTATTGGACAATTTGGACGACTCTCCAGTTTCAGCAGTTGAATGAATACTGTCTTGTCTGACAAGTTTTTTCTTATCTTTTAAAGAGTCGATTTCATTTTTATTATCCCTAATTATTTCACTTTCTAATTGCCTCTGTTCAATTTTTTTTCTTGATACCTCCACTTCTTCCAATTTTTCGTTCAAATCATCAAAAAATTTCTGATCATTACTTTGGATTGGGTCGGGCGATGTAGGTATCAACAAAGACTGAACTTTATCCATTAAAATAGTTTCCATCGCAGTGTGGATCAAACCAGTCGGTTTAAGGGCTGATCGTTCTTTTTTGTGTGACCGCTGTTCACGAAAACTTTGACTTTTGCTGTGGTGTCCGGAAGGACCACTGAAAGATGTACGCGAGACTGGTTCTGACCCAATATACATTGAAAACTTTGCAATTCCCGTTTCATCGCTTTTATGAAGTCGAGTATTTGCCTCGAAGCCCTGTCTATCAAGGCTAAGTAAGTCTGTATACGAAAGAAAAGGAGAACCTAAGACTGTTTCGCTAGGCGCCTTTGAAGTAACATTAGAAGCGGAGCCGGGGTGACTCATAGCAGTTTTAGGATCCTCGTGCGTTTTCTTTGGTCTAAGGGTATAATGAGATAAGCTTTTGATCATACTGCTCTTCGTAATCTTGGTTAGTTGACGCTTTATTCGCTTCGATGAACGATATACAAAGCCTTTTCTGTCTACTGGGGAGGAAGGTGCGCTAACGCTCTTAGAAGCTTTTTTATGAGCAAAAGGATTATTCATTCTAATATGGTTACTTGACTTTTTAGTTACGCACTTGTTTTTAAGGCAGGCCGCATCTGAACTATTCGGAACATTTATATTTACATTAATTTTATCTGTTATAGATTTTTCTTCTGCATTATCTTTCTTATTAACATCGCTACAGTTACATTCTTCTAAAATTACAACACAGCCATTTGATGTAGAGCCCATAGTTTTAACGTCATTATTTCCATTTTCCTCATTGTTGCCATCTTGAATTTTATGTACTTTACCATCGCCAGAATTAATTTCAAGGGAAGAAAGTTTCCTTTCCGCTTGCGCAATCAAATTAGGATCCGTATTGCGACTCAAAACGGATTCTACGACAGAACTTGTTGTTTCAATTGTTCTTTCGGTATCTGTTTTCAACTCGGAACTTTCATCATCTTCATCTGAACTCGTATATTCTGAACTACGCCCAGACAAAGCAGATGATACTGAACCATAAAAATCACCTTCTTCAGGCAACTTTAGAAGATTATCGCTTCGAATTACCATAGGTGTAGTTGGACATGATTCAGATAACTCTCTTTGAATTTTACTATCCTTTCCCTCATAGTTTTCACTTTTAATGTTTTCTAATGATGAACAGCATATTTCTGGTATCACTGTTTTATTGTCATTCAATGTATCTTTTGTAGAATTACGATCTAAATCTCCTTTATTTTTTTCTTCATCTGAAAAGTTTATGGTGGGTTCAGATTCACTAATGTGTCTCATTGTTGAGGCGGGCGAATGTTCAGAATCTTGAGATTCAGCAATACATGCTAGACTCGTTTGCGCGTGAATTACTGATCTAGCCAATATAGACGCCATGCCTATACCTTCCTCTTCCTTATTGATTACCTTGAGTATTTTAGGCTTCTTCAACCGTTTTAATTTCTTGAATTCATTCTTTATATCAGTTATAGATATACGTGAATTATCAGAAGAGTTTGATTTTAAAGATATTTGATCGTCTTGTTTTTCCGTTTTTCGGGATCGTGAAACTGAAAATCTTTTTGTAAAGAAATTGATTTTTATCTTTTTTATCTTTTGCAAAGGTCCCGAGCTATCGGAATCATAGTCGCTGGATCTATTTAACAATCTATTAAGATCAGTTTGATCCTCCGAAAGATGTCTTAAGCTTTGCTTGGATACATAGTCTTCTTGATAAATTGAACGATCGCCACCATAATTCCTTGCAACCGGTTCCTTTACTAGTTCCACACTTTTATCGTCCTCATCTAAATTATCCGGCTCATCTAGTAAATATGGAGCTTTGGGATTTAGGATATTGAGAAGTTTTAGCAATTCATCCTGATGATTTTGATAGTACTCGGTGAGATCTGAGACACTCTCGTCGTCGTTAGCCAAAATATCCAAATATTTTCTTAATTGCCTAATTTTAGCCAGTGCGGAACACACAACAAACCATGCAAACAAATATTCATAAGTATTTTAATAGATTTCTTAGTTAAGAGATATATTTTATATCAATAATAATATTACATTAAGTCACGAGACAACATCAAGTATGTGAAACATACAAAGCTCGTAGCTTATTTTAATAATATATATCAAATACATATCAAAATCATTTTTCCCACATCACTGGCAAGCGTGGCGATTAAAGTAAATCCTCTCTACAACGGGAGAGGTCCATATCCAGCAGTGGATTTTTATGGGCAGGTAAAGAAAATTAATCACCTACTACATCATCACAATCAGCTAGTAAATTGTCTAATACAGGACACAGGTCTTTATCTATTTTGGAAAAATTAGTACTAAATTAAGGGTATTTCTATTTTAAATTCAATTTTTTTTTAAAAAAGTTATCCGAAAGACAATCATTTGTAAGCCCGTCAAATGCCCGTCCTGAGCAGGAATCGAAGCCGCGACTCGCAGCCAAACGCTTAGCCCGCTAATGCCCCATCAAAAGATAAATTATTTAATAATGTATACTCTAAAGTAGCATATATATATTTAAATAAACAATATCCAAATAGTCATACTATATATATATATATATACAGGGTTACAAGAAAAATCGTGCTAGATCCGTTAAGGGCGTGGAGTACCCATCATTTCTGACTTATTTTACTATGAAACACCCTACTACTAAACTACCTTTTCGAGATATTTGACTTTTAATTTTTTTATTAAAAATTGCCGATTTTTAGGCTACTACATTTATTTTTGTTTATTTTGTGTATCTTATTATTATTATTATTACATTTTTACATGTGTAATAACATGCTTTAGGACATCAATCATTAAAATAGTGCATAAGTTAATTGAATAGACCGAAACTTTCCAATATTTTTTTTATTTCTTTACTATCACTTGTCTACTAGTGAAAGTAAAGAAATAAAAAAAATATTGGAAACTTTATTTTTCTCGAAGGGATATCTAAAAAAAATATTATGGCAATTGTTTGGCAGATGTTTTTTTAAATATCTACGTTTCATCAGCTATCTAATGAGGTATAACAATCTAGGGTTTGTATTACATTTCGTCGAAAAAAAGTAGTTGGGACGATCCAGGTAGCAGTTCTAACGGTCCCGCGCCTATTGTCCTTCAAGTTAAGACGCACCAAGCGAGCGAGACAAGTGACGATTTATGTAGGTGCGAATGAAAGAAAAAATGTGTAGAGACCGGTTAGGGCTGGGAATACAACAGGGGGTATTGTTTGGTTGTCAGTCTGCTTTTGTGCTTCGTACATAGTAGATGCGATATCGTTTTGCTCTTTTTATCGACTTGGCTGCGATTCTAGACTATTTCTTCTGATTTGTGACTACTGTGCTTGTTAACCAGACTCTGATTTGTACCTGTGATACGGAAGTGTTGAAGATGACGTCCTACACATCTGAGGAATATGCTGATATGCTTATTTGTTACGGATACTGCGATTGTGTGTCTGCGCAAGCTCGCAACGAATACATAACTCGCTACCCCGGTCGTCGAGTGCCGGATGTGGCGGTTTTTGACAGAGTTTATCGAAGACTTCGAGAAACTGGCTCTGTTTTGAGACGAAATACAGACATGGGAAGACCACGAATTGACGACGAAGAACAGGACAATGAGATAGTGCAACGCTTTCGAGCGGATCCGACTACTTCCACTAATATTGTTGCCCGTGATCTGGGACTTACGCAATGGAGAGTGTGGTTTACGGTGCCTACTGCTGACCTATACCCGTACCATTACACGCCGGTACACGTTATTGAAGAAGGAGACCCCGCGAGAAGATTGGACTTTTGCAGGTTTATGCTAAATGCTGACGTAGAAGACCCAGATTTTCTAAGAAATATCTTGTGGACGGATGAGTCCAAATTTGATAAAGATGGCATAACTAACTATCACAACGCCCATTACTGGGCCCCAAAAGTACTAAGGAATCCCAATAAGAAAAGAGTGAAGGGGTCCCAACGAAGATTCAGCGTGAATGTGTGGATGGGCATTATCTCCAATCATTTGATTGGACCTTACTTTCTCCCGGATAATCTAAATGCGGAAAGCTACGAAAATTTCCTGAGAGCAGACTTGAGTGATTTGCTGGATGATCTGCCACTCAATCTGATCAGAGACATGTGGTTTCAACACGATGGCTGCCCTGCCCATTTCAGGAGAAGTGTCAGGGACTGGCTGGACACAAATTATCCAAACAAATGGATAGGACGAGGTGGGCCGTTGCCATGGCCAGCAAGAAGTCCAGACCTAACCCCCATGGATTTTCATGTGTGGGGATGCATGAAAAGTCTTGTATACAGCAAGCCGAATCCAGTTTCGTCTGTGGAAGACTTAAGAGAAAGGATTGTGGATGCAGCTAATAAAATTAGGACCATGTTGACCACTGGAGTAGTGAAGACTGGTCTCCGTAGAAGGATGCGACAATGCAGCAGAAATAGAGGCGCCCATGTTGAACATGAACTGTAGAATAAGAAAAAGTTTTGTGAAAACCTTTAATAACTGACATTTCACTATTGTTTTATTTTACTTTTTTCGGCTAAGTATAAATTTTCTTCTTCACTGTCGCCTATGAAACTAAAGTTTTTTCAATGCATTTGAATAAAACCTTAGAGTATTATACCTCGTTAGATAGCTGATGAAACGTAGATATTTAAAAAAACATCTGCCGAACAATTGCCATAATAATTTTTTTAGAAATCCCTTCGAGAAAAATAAACTTTCCAATATATTTTTTATTTCTTTACTTTCACTTGTCTACTACGGTCTATTCAATTAACTTATGCACTATTTTAATGATTGATGTCCTAAAGCATCTAATTACACATGTAAAAATGTAATAATAATAATAATAAGATACACAAAATAAACAAAAATAAATGTAGTAGCCTAAAAATCGGCAATTTTCAATAAAAAAATTAAAAGTCGAATATCTCGAAAAGGGTTAAGTTTAGGGTAGGGTGTTCATAGTGAAATAAGTCAGAAATGATGGGTACTCCACGCCCTTAACGGATCTAGCACGATTTTTCTTGTAACCCTGATATATATATATATATATATATATATATATTTTTAATTTTATACAAAATAAACTCCTTTAATTCTTTAACATTTTTGCAGGTTAAAATTTAAAAGATAATACTCACTGTTGCGAACAGGGTGGCATATTAATGGGCTGACTTGGTGTAGGTAGAGGCGTTATGCTGACAGCAGTGCCTGTGGAATAAATAAAATTTATATATGTATGTATATATATATATATATATATATATATATATATATATATATATATATATATATATATATACTGGAACAGAACAGAATAGAAGCCTAATGGCACTAATATTTTACAATTTTTTTTTTAATTTTAAACATTAATATTTTATGAAATTGATCTATCAATAAATATTACTGCCGAACAACTGAACAAAATTGATGGTTCAGAGCTATTTTAAGTATAAAAAATATTTTAGAAACAGCTTCGCTAGGTTTGTATTTTAGCTAACTGCTTTCAACTGCACATTAATAAAATAAATACAGATATCACACAAAATTAAAAGCTTATTCATTCATTTATTCAATTATGCTAGCAAGATTTTTAAAATTCTTTGGCGAAAATTTCTACTCTGTGGGACAGTTTTAACATAGACTATTAAGTGTTCAACAATTACCATTGGCAGTGTGAACGCAGATAATAATTATTTTATTTCATTTAATGTATTTTTGTAACACATATCATTTTTCTATTTATTTTTATTATTAAATTTTATTATTATATTTTAGTACTAAGAGTATAAAGTGCGGACTATATAAATAAATTTTAGCTTTCTGTACTCTTTCTCGATATAAACCTTAAGTATTCCGAATGTCATCAATGTCGAAATGTCACATTCCTCCGTACGTAAATTACTTGCAACATTTGCTTTAACTTTAAAAGGGTTACAAGGTTTTCTCTTTACATATTAATATTTAGATTAAAATAACCCTTTTGACATCATTTTTTTACAATGTAATTTTTTTAAAGATTGTGATAGACAAAATATTGTGAAATATTGTGATAGATAGAGTCGTTATACTGTGGAGTCGAGTAATTGGTATAACTAGCTTGTGTTTGTTCTTAGTAAACACAAAATTTATTTATGTAACTTTTGCTCTTTAATTCATGGGTATATACGAATTAATTTTATAATTTTAAATGTTAATGAAATAATAAAGTAGTACAATTTTACCGATGGCCCTCGCTACAACACCGGCCTCCCCCTCCAAGTCGAAGTCCTGCTGGTAGCCCACCACTGCGTTGGCGCCCAATTCCGCCGCTTTTAATCCCACCAGCCGTTGCACCTGAAACAATAAATGTATAAATCATAGATGATATAAATCAGCACTGAAAGTTGCAATTAACAATTTGGTGCCGGCGGAGATCGAACTCGAGTTGCCAAAGTAGAGTGAAATTTTAAGGAGCTCTTAGCCTCCAAACTACCACGGACTCTATCAATCAATCGATCAGCTCCATTCTGATAGAATTGCTAAAAGCACACGTGGATATCTAGCAAACCCATAAAATAGAAACTACACTGGAGGCAAATAATTTGAGATCATCCATATAGAAAAAGTGGGTCAGTTTTGGTCCACTTTTCGAAGCTGAAATCCTGTCCTGGTGGATTATATTTTTTATTATTTTATATATGTTGTTATGAGAATACCCATTGGTTGGAAAAAAGAATCGCGTACTGTCACAATTTCTCTCTTTCCGTCCTACTTCGAATTCCATTCCTCACGCACTGAAAGGGGGAGGGGGTCTAGAATATGATGCGATTTTCGGCCAATGAAAACGCGCCCCGCCGAGATGAAGGTGGTAAAATGGTCGACCCATATATGGACGCGAACTGCCACCGCCATCGCTCGCCGTTCTTGCATCGTAGTTCGAGGACTTCGCTAGTTATTATTGCACCTCTGTGGCAGTCGGCCACAGAGCCGCTAGAAGTAACCGCCTTGCATAGTGCGAGTTATCGTCGCGCACCACCCTCTTCCAACGCACCACACGCAAGACCAGGAGCGTCGTCCACGAGGTCGCAAGGAACCCCACCCGGTAAATGCTTCCCTTTAATTGAACCGTTTTTTTTATTTCCTTGTCGCGTTTCTCTCCCTTAGCGGTTCAACTGGAAACTCCTTCGAGACACTGGCAAAAAAGTAGATTTGGAATAGCAAGTGCATCGTCCAAGGCTGCCGCGTGCCACGTCGACCATCTTGTTTTGGTTGTAAGAATCCGCACATGCAGTCCACATAGTAACATCTTGCATAATATGGTCAAAGCTCGACCTGGGAATCGAACCCGAGATCCCAATCGCCGAAAACATTTCTGGTCATTGGCCCCACCATTTTTCTGGTTCCTTCGAGCTGTATTCGAGGGAACAGCCTGTCGCTCAACCATTTTTCTGGTTCCTTTGAGCTGGATTCGAGGGAACAGCCTGTAGCTCAACCACCAATAGTTTTAAATATCCTATATTTATATCGTATATCTTGTTTACCTTATATAACATCTTAATTTAAATTATTTTATTTTATTCAATACAATTTTTTATAATTAGCCAGTTTATAATATTGTTACGCGCTCAAATCGACAATACACTAGCGCCATCTAGTGTCAGGAACGAGAGCGAGGGGAGCATTGAGAAAATGACATCACAAATCACTCAACCGACAGCGCCTAGTCGAAACTCGAACGCTCGGTACCTTGCGCGTGTTTACTTGAACATTCTGGATATTTCTTTGCTAATTTAAATATATAGGCGCTGCAAGATGCGATCGGGGTAGTGTTGATTTGGCGAAACAAGCGAAGCTTCGGAGCGGAATAAAGTGAATTAGTGTGTTTAATTATTAGTGTTTTTAACTTTAATTTGTGTAAAGTAAATTAAAGTGTTAATTTAGGTAATTTTATCGGCAATTTTTATTGTCACGAACCTCAAGCTCGTAACAACTGGTGTCAGAAGTGGGATAAAATCATGCCGATTTTACCTAAGGAGGAAACGGAGGGTGTCCGTACCCGAAGTCAACGCCAGCAGGAGACGGACCAACGAAGATTTGGTGGTGCAACGCCGCAGACGTCGGAGGGCCAGCCACCGGCTGCAGGCCCGTCGGTAGCTCCTACATCTGCAGCACCTGACTTAGGTGCTCTGATGGTGATGCTGCAGGAGCAGGCTCGCCGACAGGAGGAACAGGCTCGCCGACAGGAGGAACAGGCTCGCCGACAGGAGGAACAGGCTCGCCGACAGGAGGAACAGGTCCGTCAGTTAAAAGAGCAGCTGCAGAGCGGACAGGAGGAACAGGCCCGCCGATTGGAAGATCAGCTGCGGGGCGGACAAGAGGAGCAGGCCCGCCGACAGGAGGAACAGGCCCGTCGGTCGGAAGGCAGATGCTCCTCATTAAGGACTTTCATGCTACCTTTGGGAAAGAGATAAAGGAGGTGAAGGATAAGGTTGCTCAACATGACAACCGCCTGTCGGAAGCTGAAACCCAAATCAAGGAAGCTAAAACCCAAATCGACCAAGTGAACAATCGGGTTGATTACGTGGTGGCTAACGTGAAGAAAACGCTGGAAGACCTCAAACTGGGTGATGGACTACAGCTCCCGTAGTAGCTACTACACCTTCGCTACGTGGGTTCAAATTGCCACCGTTCGACGGGACTTCTTCCTGGTCAGCCTACAAAATCCAGTTCGAGGCTGTTATGAAGGCGAAAGGCTGGAATAAAAATCAGGCCATGACTGCTCTCACACTAGGCCTGCGTGACCAGGCCTTAACAGTTCTGGAAGCTCTCGGTGAGGAAGTGACTTATGAGCAACTTCTTGAGGCATTGGAGGCGAGATATGGCGACGCTCACCTGGAACACGTCTTTCGTGCGCAGCTTAAAGATCGTGTGCAGCGCATCAACGAAAACCTGCAGCAGTGGGCTCTAGAAGTGGAGAAGCTGGTGCGAAAAGCATACCGGTCTGTACCTGCGCTCATTGAAGGGAACCTGGTGCAGACATTCATCGACGGCATCCGCGACCTGGAAGTCAGAGCTGCTGTGAGGCTCGGGCACCACGAGACGCTTAAGGACGCCTTGGCCCATGCACTGGAAGTGGAAGCCGTGCGGCAGGATCATCTTTCCCATCGCGTCAGGGAGGTTGCAGCAGCTACAGTTCGCTACCGCAACAAAGGATACAGCCCAAGGTGCTATGGCTGTGGGGAAAAGGGCCATCTTCGATCCAGCTGCCCTAAGCGAACCCTAGAAAGGGAAGGTGAACGATCTCAGGAGGGTAGTGCGGCCAACAGCACCGCCCAGCAGCAGCAGGGAAACGAGTAAAAGCCAGAACTGCGGGGCGGGTGCTGGCTGATGTTAAAAGAGCCCCAAGGAATCTCAATCTCACAAACCCATGATGGGAACAGTCCAATCATCAAGGGCGAGGTCAACGGAATGCCGTGTAAACTGACCATAGACACTGGAGCCTCTCGTACGGTTGTTAGTTCCCAACTTATAAGTCAGTTCCTTGGGGACTCCGCATACAACCGAGAACGCATTAATTTGGTAACAGCCACCGGTCAGCGTATACCCGTCCGTGGAGAGAAGGAGATGGAGTTGAAGCTAGGCAACGTGATCTACCTGCATAATGTCATCGTGGCTGATATAATGGACGACTGCATCCTAAGCCTAGACTTTATGAGGAATAATTGTTGTGAGATCGACGTTAAGCAAGGTGTTTTGAAATGTGGACAGGAGGAACTTTTTATGGAAGGTGCGTTACCAGGGAACGTGTACAGCATTAAGAAGATTGTTCTTCCGCCGAGATCGGAAACGATTGTTCCGGTTAGTCTTCCTCGAAACGCTGGGCAAGCTCACCGTTGTGTACTTGTAGAAAGGGTAAACAATGACCTTCCATGGAAAGTAGCTCGAACCTTGGTCAGGACCACTGACATCTCAGGAGTACGTGTGCTGAACCTTTGCGACCGGGACCAGATTATAGAAAAAGGCACACTGATTGGTACTTGTGAGGAAGTGGATTGGTTACGGGTGCATCGAGTGGGACCCCCAGCAAGGATGCAGAAACGAGAGTGACCACACTTTTGGAAGACTGTCGGAGTGTTCTCTCCCCGAACGAATTGGTCAAGGCGAAGAAGTTGTTACTCAAGTACGCCGATGTATTCTCATCAAACGATGCTGACATAGGAAAGACTGGCTTAGTTCAACACAAAATAAACACAGGAGAAGAATTGCCTATTCTTCAGCGGCCAAGAAGATTGCCGGTAGCACGTGAAAGAAGTGGAAACCATGATTGAAGGAATGGTGAAGGATGGTGTTATTGAACCTTCCTCTAGTCCGTGGTGTTCACCAGTGGTGCTGGTGAAGAAGAAGGATGGCAGCATGCGGTTTTGTGTTGACTACCGCCGTCTGAACGACGTTACGAAGAAGGACAGCTATCCCTTGCCAAGAATTGATGACACGCTGGACATGCTTACAGGAGTAAAGTGGTTTAGCACGCTGGATCTAAAAAGTGGCTACTGGCAAGTTGAAATTGACCCTAAGGACAAGGAGAAAACTGCGTTCTCGACGGGAAAGGGTCTGTGGCAATTTAAAGTAATGCCGTTTGGGTTGTGCAATGCTCCAGCAACGTTTGAAAGGCTGATGGAACTTGTTACTGTTACCGGGCTAATTGGCGATGCCTGTCTGGTCTACTTGGATGACATTATCATCGTAGGCCGTACGTTTGAGGAACACCTTCAAAACCTGGAACGCGTGCTCATGAAGATTCAGAGTGCCAACCTCAAGTTGAGCCCGAAGAAATGTTCACTATTCCAACGGCAAGTTAACTTTTTGGGGTTTGTAGTATCGGAACAAGGTATCCGCACAGATCCAGAGAAAATCGCCGCTGTCAAGGATTGGCCGGTTCCAAAAGACAAGACGCAGGTTAGAGCATTTTTGGGTTTGTACTCCTATTACCGGCGATTTGTGAAGAACTTTGCAGATATAGCCAAACCTCTGCACAAGCTAACCGAGGAGAAGCGACATTTCTGCTGGGATGAAAGTTGCAATATCGCATTCCAGGAGCTCAAGGACCGTTTGTGCAAAACACCTATTTTGGGATATCCTGATGCAAGCAAAGAATTTATAGTTGACACAGACGCAAGTGATATAGGACTTGGCGGTGTGTTGTCCCAACGGAATGGTGACCAAGAGGTCGTGATAGCGTACTTCAGCAAGTCGTTGTCAAAACCGGAAAGGAACTACTGTGTCACAAGACGCGAATTGCTAGCTGTGGTAAAGTCGTTTCAGCATTTTAGCAAATATCTTCTGGGGCGAAAATTTCACTTACGAACTGACCATGCTGCACTAAAATGGCTATTGCAGTTTAAAAATCCAGAAGGACAAGTTGCGAGGTGGATTGAACTACTGCAGGAATACGACTTTGAGATCGAACATCGCAACGGGAAATCTCATGGCAACGCAGATGCATTGTCAAGAAGACCTTGTCCTGAAGATTGCAAACATTGTACTAGGCAAGAGAGTAAGGAAGTGGTATCCGTGAGGATGCTCAGGGCAGACCACCTCAGCAACGAGTGGAAGGACAGCTTACAACGTGCACAGCAGGAAGATCCGGACATCAAGCCGATCCTGGAATGGATGAAGGCCAGTGCTCCCAAGCCCAAGTGGAGCGACGTCTCAGCGATGAGTTCGACCACTAAAAGCTATTGGGCCCAGTGGGACAGCTTGCTGCTTCAGGATGGAGTTCTGTGCCGTAAATGGGAAAATATTCGGGGAGACAGCTGTCATTTACAAATGGTTGTCCCTAAAGCTAAAGTACCGGATGTTCTACAGCTGTACTATAATTCAGGAGGCCATCTGGGAGTTAAACGAACTCTACTGAAGATCCGAGAACGGTTTTACTGGATCCACTGTCGAAACGATGTCGAGGACTGGTGTCGCAAATGTACAAGTTGTGCGGCTGTAAAGGGACCTCTCAGACTCGTAGTAGAGGTGCATTGAAGTTGTACAATGTTGGTGCACCATGGAAGAGAATAGCCATTGACGTGGCGGGGCCGTTTCCGGAGAGTGAAAGCGGTAACAACTATTTCATGGTTGTGATGGATTACTTCACTAAGTGGCCAGAAGTCTTCGCCATTCCAAATCAAGAAGCTTCAACAGTTGCAGATAAACTAGTTCATGAAGTCTTCTGTCGTTTTGGAGTACCTTTAGAGATTCACAGCGATCAAGGAAGGAATTTTGAGTCTCAAATATTCCAGGAAACTTGCCGAGTTATGGGTACTCATAAAACAAGAACGACTTCTTATCACCCGCAATCTGATGGAATGGTGGAACGATTTAATCAGACATTGGAGAGGTACCTAGCAAAAGTTGTAGACAATCGGCAACGAGATTGGGACAAGCACATACAACCGTTTTTGTTGTCATATCGAAGTTCTGTTCACGAAAGACAGCAGTGACACCAGCTTTCGCAAACTTTGGAAGAGAATTACGGCTGCCTGCAGACCTGATCACCGGGATACCACCTGATGCTCCACGCAGTATAACCGATTATGCAAATGACTTGCGGAAAAAAATGAATGACGTTTATGAGCACGTCAGACAATCGGGCCAGCAAATGTCTGAAAAGATGAAAACCCGGTATGACCGCAAAATGAGCAACAAAGGGTTCGACGAAGGTTCACTTGTGTGGTTGCACAATCCAGTCCGCAGCAAAGGGAAATCTCCTAAGCTTCAAGCTAAATGGGACGGCCCGTACCGGATTGTGACCAGGATCAACGATGTAACCTACCGGATACAGAAAGGCGCAAGAGGGACTCCTAAGATCGTCCATGTGGATCGCCTAGCGCGTTATTATGGGGCCGATAATGCTCGGGACGAGCATGTCTTAGGAGGGGGCAGTGTTACACGCTCAAATCGTCAATACACTAGCGCCATCTAGTGTCAGGAACGAGAGCGAGGGGAGCATTGAGAAAATGACATCACAAATCACTCAACCGACAGCGCCTAGTCGAAACTCGAACGCTCGGTACCTTGCGCGTGTTTACTTGAACATTCTGGATATTTCTTTGCTAATTTAAATATATAGGCGCTGCAAGATGCGATCGGGGTAGTGTTGATTTGGCGAAACAAGCGAAGCTTCGGAGCGGAATAAAGTGAATTAGTGTGTTTAATTATTAGTGTTTTTAACTTTAATTTGTGTAAAGTAAATTAAAGTGTTAATTTAGGTAATTTTATCGGCAATTTTTATTGTCACGAACCTCAAGCTCGTAACAATATGTCTATCTCTAGTAAAGAGTAAATATCAACTGTGATGCATATTCAGACTCTATTGTATACACTTGGAAAGCAAATAAGCGCTTAAATACCTGTTCCATGATGTTTTTTAAGGGGAGTTTAAATATAGGTCAAATGATAAAAAGGAAACTCGCCTGATTACTCAGTTTGATGAAGGCAACCTGCCTAGCTTCGTTAGAGGCCCGTGGAGTCCTGATCTTGTCAATCCATTGGTACTCGGGATCGTCATTTACTATTAGCTCCTCAACGAAACCGTGGATGGCCGCCGCTCTGTATCCAGGCGGTATCATAGGACCTAGGACAAAAACAAGTTCTAAGACAAAAAATTGCTTGATACTTATTAAACGACAAGATACAGTAGCCAAATGGTTAAGGTGTTTCTTTAACTATTTGTACTGACTGCGAAATTCAAAGGTTCGAATCCGCCGTTCGCTTTAAGCTTACCAGAAGTGATTAGCTGGAGTATTAGCATTTATTTATGTATTTATTATGACACACCCACAGCATTACAAAAATGACATTATTGGATAAATAAAATAATAAATTTTGTTAACAGCACAGCAAATTTACCTTAAAAGTAAAAAAATAAGCTTCGTGCCATCATAGACAAAAGAATTCCATCAAGTGAGCTGAATCCTCGTTTGCCCCCCTACATAAAAAAACCAAAGGAATTCCATAAGCGTTCCATTTAAATGGGTAAGACAAATATACAATTTAAGTGTAGTATCGCCACTACACTGTAAATTGTGTAAAAGAAAACGTCATAAATATTTCAGAACACAGGTTACAATCAGATAGCGAAAACAATCTAAATATAGTATATGTGTCCAGAGCCACCTGCATCCGTCAACTACCTTCGTGTTTCTTCAGGTCAACACCCCATATAGCGGGAGATCGCACAACACTGCGCTTGCCAGCACATGGTGGCCACTACAGAACCCTTCTTCCTTATTAGTTCCCGGATTGTAACATCCTTAACGAGGATATCCGCAGAATAAGAGCAGCTGACATAGCCCAGCGGATAAATAAGCTAAAGTGGCATGGCGGTCATATAACTCAGAGAATCTATCTTTTAACTTACAATGAAAAAACTGTACACCGCAACTGGACGTCTTGTACTTGTTGAAGTCAGAAAAGAGTTCCACTTTTACGATAACATTCAACTCCCCTCGGATCCCGTGCATTGTGTCGAACACCGGGATCCAGCCAGACATTACTGCTCCTGGAAACACAGAATTTGGTTACATCGTCTGATCCGATTTTTTTATAGAATATGGGTGACAGGCAAAGTGAAGATTGCAATATCAGATGACTCACATTTTTAATGCTGCTGCCTGCGTCTGGACTAGCTATAAATTTTAAAAGACATTACATTATTTTGATAATGCCCGAAACCTCCCAGAATTAATTGGGATGGTTGATTTCTCTAATGTCGCGCTTCGTGACAAGAATGATTTTGTTATATTTCATATCATTACTAATAGTTTATGATAGGTTTTATGCTCTAAAATTAAAAAATGTTTTTTATAGAATGAATTTTTTTATAGAATTTTTATTACGTTTTATTTTAAATAAAATAATGGTGACAAACGAGCACACCGCTCACCTGATGGGTGGATGCTGTGGCTCATAGACACCTGCGTCTATTCTCAATTAAAAATCGAAATGCAGATACGTTGTCACCCGTGAGGACTAAAATGGAATGTCTCGTATCCAGTAAAAAGGGATTGTTCATAGAATTAAGGGTGACACGGGGACAGTCTGTTCCTAATGGTAAGTAACGTTGGGGCAAATTTTTTCAGAGTTAAGTAGCATTACTTATAAAGTAATGGAGGGAGGGTCTTGGGTTACATACTGCTACAGCCTATCAAATACTGCTGCTTAATGTAGGCCTCCCCCATATACTGTCTCATAGGACAGATATTTGTCATAGTTACCATACTTGCCAGGCGGGTGGCAAACGCAGTTTTTTATTTCTTTTGGTTTTACATGGAAACACATGTTACCAGTAAAAAGGGGTCTCCGGTTCTTTACACTCACCATACAAAACACAGCAGTAGTTAAGCTCCTACTTCACACTGGTATTCTGTAAGAGCGTGGTCCTTCTACGGTGGAGCCGACACATTCGTGCTACAACTACAATATACACGTAGCTGCAACTTATAAAAGGGTGATAAATGAGCACCTGCAGGCCTATGTAAACGCAGAGAAAAGCATTCCATTGTATGATACTATCACTTTCACGCTATCATTACAAATACATTCGTACTGTAGCTATATATATTAACTGCGACGTGGGTCTATCACGTAAAACTTCACTCTTCTGAAACGCAAATTCAGAATATCACAATAAACTACGTTTTATAATTAGACGTATTAAGTTTACCTCCAGGCGGACCTCCAATTCCCTTCGCATTGTTAGCCTCTCTAGCGAGGAGGGGTGCTAGGCTTATAACGACCTTGCCAATCGCGTCGTTCGCCGAGTACGTATCGTGGTCCATCAGTCTTAACTGTAGAGGCTCATCTTGAAGTTCTGATTCATCAACCTGTAACAATGTTCAGTGAAATAAACATAAATTATTTACGTTTAAATTGTATCGTATTTTGCGTAATGATTTCTTATATTTACGCGAACACTACACATTGGTGTTTAACACCAAAGTTTCGGGGAGTCTGCAGTATGTGATCATATCCTAGACAGCCCCATTAACATCAGATTTGATAGACTACAAATCCTTGCGAACGAAAGTGATTCCTATAACCAAGGTTGATACGTGAGGTTGTTTACATTAAAATACATCCTAATTTCAATAGAGAAAGAGTATGGGTACTACCGTCTGCTTGGGATCTTGTAATTTTTTTGTGTAATTAATTAAAACCAAACCCAAGCATACCACTGCAAGACGTCAACACAGTAAGCTCATTCTACGCAGATCAGACTAAAATATGTAAGTAATTAAAAAGTTGGAGGTACCTACTCCAGGTTCTTTTTGACATCGGAACGTCAATTTAAGCTCAGAAGGGCTAGAACCCAGAGCCGTAAAGCTAGTAATAAAAAAACGGGACGAGCGACGAGAGCGCCGCTACAAGCGTTTAGAAGAATTAAGGCTCCGACTTCACAATGTAAAACTATTTCATTGTCTTTTAATTCTTTAACCTCTAAAACACCAAGCGGCCAAATTTTACCACTTCGATATTCAAGCGGTCAAATATGACCGCACCCACCCACAGCGCTTTAATCTATAAAAACTTATATTTAGAGACTACTTTTTTGTGAAGAAGTTTGGCATTATAGGCTTAATGTGAAATTTCCTATCCTCTAATGCAATAAAACGCAGTTAGTCTATGGTTTTTTATTTATAATCTACGTTAATTTCATACGCCTATTTCGTGTGGCGTATTATTGATTTTTGGATTTTTCTAATGTTTTATTAGTGTTTAGTATAGTGTTTTACTATAAAATTGTTATAAAAGTTTTTGTGTGAATACAATTTATCTTTTTACGTAAATAATTTCGAGTAATATATAGAAATAATTGTGATATTCACGCTGTTGTCCTGCGCTGGATAAGTACATTTTTTACTATGAAAATACAATTAAAATATATTTGTAATGAAGTAAAAGCATTAAAACTAGTAATATAACATAAAAAATAAACAGAAAAAAGTATTATATTGAAATTTTATATTCGCTGCTACCCATCGCACTATAGGTTCGAGCCTGGCCACACGTGCAACAGCAAAGGCTGCCGCGTGGCTCTACCACTGTTAAATGATGGCCACTCCGAGTGGATACAGCAAGCCCACTTCATATGTATGTTGGTGGGCTTCGGCATGAGTGGTGTTCTCCTTCCAACCGCTGCAAGCGAGGTGGAGTCGCGGGGGAAGAGAAGTATTGGTATGGCGATGAGCGATCCCTATCCTCCCTGATTTTGGCGGGGCCACACTATAGAAAATCCCCGTCTTATTACTGTTTTAACGGCAGTCGTTATTACGTGATGAAAATTATAAATTAATATACTATTATAAATAAAGTTCCTTTTTAGGTATTTTTATTTTATTTTGTATGTTTAACATATAAGTATAAAAGAGCATCATATCTTAGTCATGTTCGATAAGATGATTTTGACGAAATACTTTATTACGATTCAATGCCACATTAAGTACTTGAAAGTTTTCCATATAAGTATGTAAGTATTATACAGTTTTGGAATGCTTATATGCTTCTCCAAATTTTTCTTAAATAATATTATATTAGGTAATTAAACAAAAAATAACCAATATAGTTTTAGATGGTATATTTTTAAACTTTTTTCAACAAGAGATTTACCTCTTACCGATGCTTGCTGATGTCGAGGTGTTTATTGCATTAGGCATCTTTTCCATTACACGGTTGTTCAAACGTACGGTGTGTAAGCCGTACGGTTGAAAAAACGTGCTAGCTTGTACATGATACGGCAAAATCACCGCGCGAGACATTGGTAAGTACTGGCTAGTAGCGCTTTTTACTCGGGCTGTGTAGGACGTGCTGCGTCATGAATTTTCTTACGAAAAAAAAGATTATAGTTGCTTATTACATATATAGGAAAAAGAAAATAGAAAAAAAAAGGGAAGTAAGGTTTTGGATACATCCGATTTTAGAAAAAAGGGAGGAATATGGCGCGTTTCATACACTTGTCAAGAATCAATTGAGAGAAGATGAAGACAAGTTTTACAATTATTTTAGAATGCAGAAAACTACATTCGACAACTTGCTCCAAAAATTATCCCAGGAACTAAAACATCAAGATACTTTTATGCGAGAGAGTATATCGCCCGCAGAAAGATTGGCTGTAACTCTGAGGTAAGTAGGTACAAAATTAAATGACATATTTTAGTTTAAAATTGTTTATTGCACACAAACAAAATTATTACATGTAATTGAATTTTAATAATTATTAATTTAAGAACAAGTAAATCAAAAAATACACTACGCTGAAAATGCTACTCAAGTGCGGTACTAAAATCGAATTCGTCTTCAATAGAAACTTGAGAATCTGCCGAGATACTTTCCGCATTTACACTATGTACAGATAATTGTGATTCGGGTCGGTAGTGGATTGGCTCTAAACCAGAACCGTGTCCAAAATCATGAGAAGACGTCTGTGGACGACTTATTCCATAGCTCGATCTAGCAGCTGTAGAATATCCATATGTTGACGATTGCGCATTTGAGGATGCTGTACCACTTAAATATCCTTGATGGCCTTGATCCCATTGGTTTCTTGATGTAGGTATATACTGAGTACACTGTCTTTGTTGAATATTTTTAATTATTGAAATTACTTGAAACTGAAAGTCTATCATATTTTCATCACTGAACTTGTCAACTGTATCAGCGATTCCCATAAAAAAGTTCATACTACGGCTTTTCTTTTTCTCATCTCGTTCTGCTGAATCCATAAACTTCATAAACCTAATGTCAACTTCACTTAGTTCATTTTTTCTTTTTTTTTAGCCCTTTGCGTCTCACTCCGTTCAGTGTATCCCGAGCTTGATTGATTCGGGACTGCACTATCAAAATTTTCATTACTGAGGCTAGAATCATGAACATGTTCAGTCATGTGAGAATCGGTCTTGCGATGCTCAACATTTTTTTTTAGGAACATCATTTCATCATAGAACATATATTTTCTTATTTTTTTGCTGAAGAACCAGACTTACATTCATTAATTTTTTTGTCATATTTTATCCAGCTATCTTTCATATTGGTCCACTTCTTCATCACCATTTGCCCTGAAAATAAATAAATAATAATTATTAAATTCAAAATTTATGAAAACCCCCGACCTAAACTGAATCGACCCCGACCTAAAATGGGGTTTTAGTATTTGAACCTGAACCGTTTTGTTTTATATTTCAGGTATCTAGCAACAGGAGATACCTTTACTGACCTATACTACAGCTATAGAATTGGAATAAAAACCATAAGTTGCATCGTACGTGAATATGCCACTACATTTGGTTAGAACTGTATAAAGAATATATGAAAATGCCATCTAAAGAAGACTGGCTACACATTGCAAGCAAATTTCAAGAATCTTCCAACTTCCCGCTGTGCTTAGGAGCGGTCGATGGAAAACACATCAGACTTATTAAGCCAATTGATAGTGGCTCGATGTTTTTAAATTACAAACATTTTTTTTCTATAGTTTTGATGGCAGTAGTAGATAGCGATTACAACTTTATATTTGTTGACGTTGGCGCCTACGGAAAGGAGTGTGATTCCAGTGTGTTTAAAGAGACCCCATTTTGGAAAAATTTAACAAACAACGGATTAAATCTACCCGATGCAACACGTTTGCCTGGAATTGACTACGATTTGCCATATGTGTTCGTTGCGGACGAAGCCTTTGCTTTGCATTATCACTTGCTTCGTCCATTTGGTGGTCATCAGCTTGATCAATTAAAACGTACATTTAACTACAGACTCACAAGAGCGCGAAGATTTGTTGAATGTGCGTTTGGCATTTTATCCAATAAATGGCGAATTTTTCACCGGCCAATGAATGTGTCCATCGATTTGGCAGTTGATATTGTGAAAACATGTTGTGTTTTGCAAAATTTTATACATAAGCAGGAAAACTTTCAGTTTCACAATGCGAGTGAAAATGAGTCCACCCTTGATTCAGAATCGGAACTAATCCAGTTACCTATCACGAATGCAGTTCGCGGAAGTTTGGCGGCTAATGAAGTTCGCAACAGATTTGCACAATATTTTGTATCTAACGAAGGTCGCCTCTCCTATCAAAACAACTATGCATAAGTAAAAAGTTAATAATTAAATATCTGTAACTTACCAAACTTGTTTTTCTCATCACCACTTAAATCTTCAAATGTGGGCTGGAAATGAATAAATATTTCTTTCCAGGAATCATATTTAAGCCGCTTATTTTTATAATCGTCGATGGTCTTATCCCATATTACAGGCCTTTCTTGAATCAACGTAATTAATAATTCTTGATTTATGTTCATTTTATAATAAAATCGCGAAACAGCGTATATAAGCGGTCACGAATCCGTGCGTACGTCCGGCACCGTCGACACACCCCGATAGACTGCCATACAACACTGGTGAAAATCACGCCGTGCGTAGACGCGGCGCGCCGAGGGGGCAGTCACGGCGCACGCGGCCGCGGCGCCGTGCCTTGGCGCCACCGTGCATGTCGACAAGCTCATATAGTGATCCATACCACACTGACGACCGTGCCTACACGCGGCGAATTAACCGTAGATTTTCACGGCGAGAAACCGTGTAATGGAAAAGAGGCCTTAAGATCTTCACACATGAGTCTGTTTAGGGATAAAAAAATTGCTATTACTTGCTCCTTTTTTGAAGAAAAATGAAGCTTGCTCATCTGTAAGATATTGCAGACCCATATCGATAGAATTTTCTAAAGAAATTCCTGAATAAACAAAGTCTGGAGTCGCTGATATTAACAATCAAATACAAAGCCTGCTTCATTCCCTATTAAATAAGGATGGTGAGATAATCAAAGTTACTCATG